AACCTATTGTAATTATTTGTTTACTGTCTATTTTTATATTCCAGACTAAAAGTGATATAAAATTAAAGTCAAAGTCTGACTATGCTATCCCTAGTACCTAGAACTGAGTTTAACACAGAGCAGGTGCTAAACAAATTTCAATTTAAATAAAATTCCAAACTTAGACATAAAAGACACTTCTACTTCTAAGATTTTAAAAAAGAGTGTGTGCATGTATGTACATATACATGCATGTGTGTGTGTTCTTTGTATGAGTATTCTCACCATAGAAAATACTGTATTATTAGAACCATTGGAAACAAATGAATGCCAAGGCCCACTTGCTCACTGCAGTAAGTCCTGAGAATCTTGGATGATGGAGACTTCCATTTCCAGCTCCTAAAATGAGATTATAAGTAGTTATTTCCAGATTTTATCTGACAATTGGGAACCCTCCTTTCTTACTCTGTCCCCATGCCACTGACATTCTTTGAAGAATAATTTGAAATCAGGAAAAGCATTGACTCTCTATTTAGAGATCTCTGTAGACACAAGTATCCACAGGTCCTAGATTTTCCAAAGTAGTCATAAAGTCAAGTAGAATACCTCACTGTCTCCCCACGTGTGCTTGTAAATATCCAACCAGGCATCCTGGTGGTTGGTCCAGGAAATACGGACACTGGTCTCACACAGAACTGCTTTGAAGGCAAGCTGCTTGCTTTTAGCCACCTGCAGGGTTTGATCATAAGGAGTGAGAGAACTGCTTCTAAGAATTTGTCCGAAAGATCTTTCTTCTATTCCCTCTGCCTCTCCTGCATCTGCCACTATGATAAGTTGAGGATGAAGATGTTCTGTCATTAAAGAAGCCATGGCCTGTGCCCCCTTTAAGTTATATTTTCTTCAGCTGCCTGGTCACCTGATAAATTGAGATATTGTGTGAATATCAGTTATCATAGTCCTCAGTACACAGCAGAAGCTCAATGAATGTTAGCATGATTAATATAACTTAGCTGAACATGAACAAATAAAACCATAGAGGTGTAGTAACTTCCCTAAGGTCTCAAAGCTACTGTGCCAGGTAATTTAATATTCATAAGGAGGATTGTAAGATGGTTTTACTGTATTTCAAAATGCCTTTCAATACTGTTAAAATAGAAAAAAAAATGCTATTCATACTATAACTATGTCATCATCTTAATCACGCTATAATCCTTTTAAGCACCATTCTTATATGCATGTCAATATATAAAATATTCTTTCAGATAATCAAAATGGGGCTTTGTCTACCCATGGAGCTATTTTGAATCTAAATTAAGGACTAAGATTAATTTTTGAAGAAAGATACCTCATGTCATATTAAATCATGAACCCAAAGCATACATTAGATAGCAAGTTAAATGCTAAAGAGATTGTAGATGAAAATTACCCACAATTATTGCAATGATAAGAATAATGTTTATTTCTTTTAGGCAAATATCTCTTTACTGGGAACATACCTGTGAATTAACATACCAAACTGCTAAGAAGCCTTAAAGAGAAATATAGCATGTTACAGAACATGAACAGAATTTTAAATGCCAAAGTGATTTACATCTCAGCTGACTTTTTGCTACTCTATTTTCTTTGTCTCTGTGGGAACCTAGTTTGTTAAGAAGAAAAAGACCTATAACTTGAAGTTATTCCTTAAAATTTGTACCCCCATAATATGCTGAAATTAAATAAATAAATAGAGAATTTTTTTGCCTGAAATTAATGAATTACTCCTTAACAGTCTGTCACATGGCTTTCATGAGTAAATGAGCCTGTGAACTAGCTTGTTGTGAATTTTCCAGTTTCAGCTATACAGCAGAGACCTAAATGAATAAAACATGTTTCTTGCAATATAAAGGATATTGGTTCAGTTAAGTAATCAAATCACATAATTTGCATGTTATGCTATTAAATTATTTCTACATTGTATTTGAAAACCTACTGAGATGATCTGAGAGAATAAATGAGAAATAAAATATAACTAGAATTGACACAACTTTTCTTCAGGTTTTGCTATTCCGAAAACATGGTTTCTTTTTAAACAATTGAGTAATTACAATTATAAAAAGCTAAAGGGAGCAATGATTACACTTAGAGGTATCATTTAGAGAGCACCCTACATAAATGGTTAAATTAGAAAACCAAAAATAAAGCTCAAAATTAATGAGCTAATAGTCCAACTTAAGAAGGTAGAAAAAATTATCAAAATAAATGCAAAGGAATTTTAAATAATAAGACAGATGAGAGAATTCATTAATTAAACTGAAAACAAAGATAAAATAGTATCAAGAAAAGCAAAACTTGTTTCTTTGAAAAGAAAAATGAATGGGAGAATCTCTGATGGGCTTGTTCAAGAAAGTAAGAAAGAAGAAGAATTCCTAAGGAATAAATTTAGATCCAGTAAGATTAAAACAATAATATTACTATGATATAATTATGTATGGTATATAACTAATATATTCCAATAATATGAAAATGTACATGAAATGGGAAGATTTATATATACACACATATAAATTTTTATATATACATATGTAAATCCTTATATATATAAATCATTATATATATAAATCCTTATATATTCATTCATAAACCTTTATGTCTACATATATAAATTCTTATATATGTAAAGAAGAAATATATTTATTTCTTCTTCTAACTGAAGAAGAAATAGCCTGACAAAACCCATATAAAAATATTCAATCAGTAACTTAATATTTTTAATTTTAATAAATACTATGTCTAGGTGGTTTAATGGTATATTGAAGTACCTTATCAACAAGTAAATTATCATAATCTTACACAAACACTCCAAAATAATTAACCAAAAGAGGTAAATTCCTGCCAACTCATTCAAATAATCTTACTATCAAAATCTGGCAAGGAAAAGATGAGGTAAACAGAAAATCTGTAGGACAACCTCATGAGCCTAGGCAGAATTACTAAATACAATCTTCGAAAAATAAATTCAGAGATTTAGAAGAAGATATATTATGTCCAAGTTGGCCTGAAAACTAAAGAGGGTATCAACATAGAAAATGTGTAAGTATAATTTACCACTTTGATAGATTTAAAAATGCCTAACCATCTCCTTGGATCCAAGAAAAACTCAATTAATACAATGAAAATGACAATACTGCCCTCATTGTTTTGGGATCATTAGAAAGGTAGGACATTTTAAAACAGCAGGATCTAGGCCCTCAAACCACAATGTGAAAATTAATTCTAATACTGTTCATTGATTTGCATAACACAGACAGAGGTGAATCAATTTAAGCCTCTGAGTGTTTTTAAAAGGCATGTGAGTCACCTGGCACTTTTGTGCGTTGTAATTTATCACTTCAGCAGTCTTCAGCATCTAGGGAAATGTTTGAAAAGTGTGTTAACACCCATAGCAGACAGTGTCGCCTCCCTGCTCACATCCTCTCACCTGTACCGTTTCAGTGGACATCAGCCTGACATCCAGAATTTGCTTTGCTTTGCCTGTGGGTTTTTCTAGACACTGGAACCTATTTCCCCTAACCTTGTGACAGACCAGAATGACCAGGAAATTCACAGACTCCTAGAGCAGGCCTCAAGCAAGGAACACTTCTTTCCTCAGGTGGCATAAATCTGCAGAACGTATTAACACTCCCCAGTGGGATAAGAACCCGTTGCCCCTGGTCAACTTTGCGTGGCAATGCACTCTTACTACCCTGCATCACTGCCCGCTCCCTTCATGGCCCAAGCAAAGTATTTGTACTTAAACTCTTGTCTTAGGGGCTGCTTCTAGAGGACCCCAAACTTAGAGAAAACAAATTATTCTCAACCGTCTAGGGGAATGTCAGCCAACGCTGACAAGGTGAATCCCCTCCCCCTGTGTATTTTCTAGGGCAGGACCAAGTAAATAAATGCTGCTTCTGATAAAGCTACAGTGATTAATGAAGAAAACAACAATAGCAGCAGCACTTCACCTTGCCGTGCTCAGCTCCCGCACATTTTCAGCGTGTCTGGCATCTCTAATCAAGGGTGCCTTTGGGCACCACAGGAGAAGCCCCGTTGGAAAAACAACATGATGGAGTGACCAGCAATTCAGGCCATTCCGAGCCCCACCAGTGTAATAATAATTGGCTGTGCTTGCTCACTCACTGCCCAGCTTTGCTTCTTCATTTATTAGCTTGCCATTAAAGATGTCAGCGAATTATTAAAATATTATCTCCTTTCCCAACCATTATTATTATATGATGCTATTTTTGTTTCTCCCACTATAGAGAACAAAAATCAAAATTAGATGCAAATTAGTGCCGATTTAGCTTACTTTTTAGAATTTCAAGCAGTGAAGTGTGAAATGGTTGTGATAAAAGTATATTTATTCTTTCTGACTCATGGTATCCTGTTGCTGTTTTGGGGAGTAAATGTGTTATCTTTCCGAATACAGTTTTGCAGCTGATTTTAATAGACTTTAGACAGAATATACTGGCTTCCAAAAATAGGACTGTGTGTATGTCCAGACTGTACTTCTATTGTTAGCCTCTAAGTTTTTCCGTTACTTAACATCTTCTCCACATCACAGACCATTAAAGAGGACCACAAAGTGTGGTTATTTCCTGTGGAGAGTTACTTTTCTTTTGTGAGCAGATTACAAGTTATGTTTTAGGCAAATGAAAAGAAAAAAATGTTAGCTTACTGAGAGAAGCAATTAATAATCTATGTCCAGAGCTTTCAGCAAAACATAAGCAAGGTTTGAATTAAGAAAGTATTCTTTAGCTGAAAAAGAATGTTATAAAGATAGCAAATTGCTGTGTTTCTAATTTGCTTTTTGTTGTCTGAAGCCCTCATTGGTCAAAGAGAAAAACCAAACCATTTCTACAAATGAGTGCTATGAACTTTGAAGACAGGTACTGCCATGCTGTTCGTGAACAATTAAAGGTAAAAAGGACGCTGCCATGAGAGAAAAATAAAGACAACATGGGAATTTTAAAGGCATTTAACCATTCTTTTGCTCTTTATTAGTGTTTTCATATAAAGGCATATAAAGGGAGCGGCAGCACAGAGCCCAGGGTAAAACAAGGAAACAGGTGCATTGTGTTAACAGGGCAAAGAGACAAAGATTCCACTGTCACAGAAAACTTCACATTGCTAAACTTCAACTTAAAAGGTTTACTAAAATGCATGGCCTTAGGGAAATTTAATGACATGTTATGGTTCATCTGAACTTGTCAGCTGGCCCCAAGCTGCGATAATCAGCTTTTCAATGTCAGACTCATTTACTCCTCGAAGAATCCTGAAATAGCCATTTTCTCCCCATGACTTTCCCCAGGAATTGGCAGCAATCTGCAGAAAAACAAAAAATGAAAAAGTTAAGTATCATACTTTGGTATTTTTTAAATCCTGTCTATAAAAACACAGGGAACTCATATGTAGTTTTAAATGCCTTTGACTAACCATTGATTATAATTATCAAGAATTTAAATATTTTCTACATAACAGTTTTATTATATAAGTAACACATGCATGAAAGTTTGAATGCCCCATCAGAAGATGGTAAACAAGCCATAGTTATAGAGTGTCTACTATGTGAATAGCCCTGTGCTCAGCACTGGAAGACCAAAAATAAATAATATAATAGTAAATAATACTATTAATATAATAGTATATATTATATAATAGTAAATATATATTAATATAATAGTTACTATTATATTAATATAATAGTATTAATGTAATAGTAAATAATACTATTCTGTGTTCTGAGAGCATATCATCTAATGAAGGATGGCAAACATGAGGCAAATGCTAACATAGAAATATGCCCAGGGAATTATTAGGGTCAGAGGAGGGACACCTTGCTTATTTGGATGGTTCAGGGAAGAAGTTGTGGAAGAACTGCTGCATGGGATGCATATTAAAGCCTAAGCATAAATTCACCAGACCAAAAAAAAAAAAAAAAAAAAAAAAAAGAGGAAAAGATATTCAGGCAAAGGGAAACAGTAAAAGCATGAAACAGCATGAAGTAGTGAAATGAAACAATAAAATTATTATAATTAGAGCATAAGAAGGAAGCAGTGGTAGGTTATGAGGCTGGAAGGGGAGCTAAGGACATCCATATTGAGAAAATAGTGGTGAAGATGAGAGCAAGTCATTGATTGAGTTGCTTCCAGTAGGAGAGCAAAGTAGGGAAAATTCGTATTCTGATGACATTGTCCCATATGATGTGAAGGTGATGGATTAAAGAGGATGAAGACAAGAGTCAGGGAGAACAGCTAGTGGACTCTTGTCATTATTCAGTTGGATAACCTAAGTGGAGTGGGAAAAAAAGAGATAAAGTATTTGAGAAATCTTCAGAAAGTAAAATCAACAGGAATTAGAATTTTTTTTTTCTTTTCCTATTCTTTTTGAAATATGAGGATAGTTAAGAGTGTTGGGCTAGGCCCAGATGGGCTCCTGGGTTTAAAGCTCGTGTGAATAAGTGCATGGTGGAGCAAAGGCATTAATGGAGTACAGAGAGAATATCATAAAGGCCAAAGGGCACACAGAAGGGAATTATTTGACCACAACTAAACAAAAGAGAAAAGCCCAGAAAATTGGAGACTTCACAGCAGCTCACATTTACCCTACACTGGACCTCAGATGGAAAAATTTCTTAGCGTTATCTACATTGATATTCTCAAAGCATATGGTGTGTTGCATTGAACTTTCACTCTTTCCTACCATGTAAGAGAGGGGCAGATTCTCTCAGCATCAGACATTGTCGTGACAACATCAGCTTTAAGAAATAGCTGATTATCATCAGCATTTCCTTTTACAATGTGGTTCTTTGCCTCCTTCATCAGCCCTGACACCTTAAAGGAGCACTCTCAATGCTATGTCTAAGATGATGAATTCAATTTACCACTAAAAAGATGGAATGGACTTCGAATAGCTGGAAATGAGACAGGATCAACGTGTGAGAATTTTAGCAACAATGAACTAAACTAAATTCCAATTTCCATATTTTCTAGTCAGTTCCTCTCTTTCTCTCTCTCTATACAGATATAGAGAGAGGGATTTCAAATAAGGTTAGTCAAAACCTAAGATAAATTGTTAGGAATAGTAATATTTTAAATTCTTGAAAGTATGATATACAACACTATACCTAACTATACCTATTCTCATTTAGATGTCTGAAGATTGTTACTGCTTAAAATTTCATAATTATCTCTTTGGTAAATACGGGAAGGGTATATGAAGATTTTATAATCAAATGTGAATTTATGTGCTAATGAGAGCTAATCATAGAATAAAGGCGACATAATTATGAACAGTGGGACTTTGTAAATTAGTGCTAAAACAGTGCACCTCAGGACATGTATTTTGTTTATTAATCTTATCCTTCCTACTCTCATTTCTTCCATTTCTTCACCTATTGTATTTGTTTCTTCCAAATGCCTGAATTTGTTTGTATTTAATTATAAAGTAAAGGGTGGCAACACAGAGGAGGAAATTTCTAAAGACGTAACTTTTTACCTTTTATATTGAGATCTATGATATAGTCACATGTGTAGAGTTTATTAATATTAAGAGTACAGTTTAGTGAATTTATACACATGTTTATGAAATTTATGCCTCTCTAATCATCACTTAGACAAAGATATTAACCATTTATAGCACCCAGAAGGTCCACCATGTCACCTTCCTGTCAACATTCACCCTCTCCTCACCCATCGCTTTTTTCCTTTAATTGATCTTTATAATAATGGAATAGCACAGAATATACTCTTTTGTGCATGGCTTCTTTAGCTCAAAATAATGTTGCTGAGATTCATCATGTCATGGTATATGTTAGTAATTAGTTCATTTTATTGTTGTGTATTTTTATTGTGTCACTATAACACTATTTATCCATTCTCCTATTGATAAACATGATGTACATAAGTAGTTGTACCATCTATGCCATCTTGTACCATTAATACAAGAGTTCTAGTTACTCCACTTATACTTGGTATTACCAATCCTTTTAATTTAAGCCAATCTAGTGTATGTGCAGTGGTATCTCATTGTGGTATTAATTTGCATTCCCCTGATAACTAAAAATGTCAACCACATTTTCATATGTCTGTTGACCATTTGGATTTTCTATTTTCTGAAGTGCCTGTTCAAGAATTTTGTCTAATATTTTATTGAGGTTTTTTTTGTCTTCCTATACATTTGTAAGTATTTCTGTGTATTCTATATGTGAATCATTGTCTGATATCTTTCCAGATAGAAAGATGGATAGATGGATGATTGACAGGTAAATTTTCTCAGTCTGTGGCTTACCTTTTCTATCTCAGAATGCTGTCTTTTGAATGTTATTGTAATGTAGTCTGATAATTTTTCTCATGAAATTTATCCATTTTATTTCTAATTTAATAAAGTTTTGCCTAATCAATATCATGAACATATTTGCCTATGTTTTCTTTCAGACACTTTATTATTTTGCAATCTCATTTAGGTCTACTTTCCATCTCAAATTAGTTTTGTGTGTATTTTGTGAGATAGGGGTCTGGTTTATTTATTTATTTTTCACATGTCTATAAAATTTCTGTAGCATAAGCATTGACCAACTATGGCTCATGGACCAAATTGGCTCATGGAGCCTTTAAAAGAGGGGCTAGAAGTCAGGAATTTTGTTTTTCCTAATGGTCTTGAAGATGTAACTTGCTATGTTGAGAGAGGATTTGTGAGAATGTCTGTCAGGGGACCACATGGAAGGAAATTCAAGCACCTTCTAGAACCTGAGAGTAGCCCAGTCAGCAAGAAAATGGGCACTTGGCCTCACAACCACCAGAACTAAATTCTGCCAACAACCATGCAAGTTTAGAAGAGGACCTTAAGTTCCAAAAAGGAACACAGCCCAGTCAACCCTTGCACTACATCCTTGTGAGATCATGAGCAGAGGATCCAGGTAAGTTGGAGTTCTGACCCACGGAAACACTGAGAAAATAAATGTATATTGTTTGAAGCTTCTAAATTTGTGATAATTTTTTGCACAATAGAATGCTAATTCACGTGCTGAAACTTATTAATGCATTTTCGGCATCAATGAGGGTAATCATGATTTTTTTTTCTCTTTTGCTCTGATAATGTGACGAACTATCATGATTGATTTTAATATTTAAAACCAACCCTGCCTTTCTGGGATGATAAACTTCACTTGGTCATGATGTGTTATCTTTTCAATATATTTCTTAGTTGTGATATTTTGTTTAAAATTTTATGTCCATAAGAAATGTTGACCTATAATTTTTCTCTTCTGTATCATCAGGCTTTGGTATTGACATTATGCTGCTTTATAAAATGAGTTGTGGACTAACTGTTCCTTATTTTCTATTCCATTAAGAGGTTTGATATAAAATTGATTTTATTTTTTCCTTCAATGTTTGGGAAAATCTACCAGTGAAGTCTTTTGAGACTGAGTTTCTTTGTGAGAATGTTTTAAAAGGAGTCAATTTTTTCAAATCGTTCCATAACTGTTTAGGCTTTCTGTTTTCATCTTGTGTGAGTTTTGTAAGTTTTGTTTGCCAATACATTTATCCATTTCATCCATATTTTAAAATATATTGGCATAACTTTCTCATAATATCCTCTTATTAATTACTTAATATCTATTGAATGTGCAGCAATGTCCTTTTTCATGGTTATTTGTTTTGTCTCTCTTTGTTTCTTTTTGGATCTTTTTAAAAATTTGTCTATTATATGTCTACTTTCTTTGCCATTGATTTCTGCTCTATATTATTTCATTCATTTTATCTTTCTTGGGCTTGTGCTTTTACCTGATTGAATCATTCTTTTCAACCTTTTTAAAATGCATTGATTTTAACCTTTCTCTTTTTCTAATACATGCATTTTCTGTTAAATTCAGTACTACTTTAGCTAAATAAAAACTTTAACTTAGTATCTTCTGCACAATTTCAATCCTTTGAACTTATTAAACTTGCCATTGACCTATTCCCCAAGATATAGTCAATTTTATCAAATATTATATTTCATGTGCACATGAAGAGAATGTAATTCATCAATATTTATGTATAGTATTATATGAATTTCAATTATATAAAGCTGGTTAATAGTTTTTCCAATTTTCTATATTTTTACTTACATTTTAGCTGCTATTTCTATAAGATATTGTGAAGTGTTAAAATATTTGTCTATTTTTTTCTGCAACTTTTGCTTTATATTTTTTGAAACTGTGTTGCTTCAGCTTTTGTCTAAAAATGTCTTAATTTTGTTTTTATTTTGAAGAAAATTGTCACCATGCATAAAATTCCAGGTTAGTAGGTTATCTTAATCACCATCATCATTGTCATTCTTATTATTAGCTACTTTTATCCAACACTTTAACAATGTCATTCTGCTGTCTTCTACCTTCCATATTTTTTCTGTTGAAATGTCAGCTTTCAGTCAATGCTGCTTTTTTGGAGGTTATTATGTATTTTTAAGCTCTGTTTTTATTTTTTTTTCTCTATTTCCAGCTCTTTGACCATGAAATGCTAGGGTATAATTTTATTTGAATTTTCCTGCTTGGAGTTAATGAAGCTTCCTGAATCTTTAGGTTGATGTTTTTCAGTTTTGGAAAACTTGGTAATCGTGATTTTAAATATTGATTCCTCATCATTCGTTCTCTCTTATTCTTTTGGAACTACAATTACATGTATGTTAAACTATTTGCTTGTGCCCCCCATCCTTTCCCATTGTTCTGGATTTGTTTTTGTTTTTACATGATATTTTCTCCTATGTATTAAATATTGAATATATTTTATTGAATATTATTTAAGATCATTAGTCTTATCTGCTATTTAACCATACAGTGATTTCTTTTTTTATATCAGCATATTATGGGGGTACAAATCTTAAGGTTACATATAACAACCTTGCTCTCCCCCCTCCTCTAGATAATAAAAATAAAAGGGGAGGTATCAATATGTTAGACTTCAAAGTATACTACAAAATTGTAGTAATTAAATCAGCTTAGTATTGGCACAAAAATAGGTACATTGACAAGTGGAACAGAACTGAGAACCCAGATATAAAACCATCCTCATATAGCCATCTAATGTTTGACAAAGCAGACAAAAACATACACTGGGGAGAAGAATCCTTATTCATACAGTGATTTCTTAATCTCAGACATTGCATTTGTGAATTCAAGAACTCATCTTCTTGCTTCTTTATAGATTGAAATTCTGTATCTTTTCTTCCATATTTTCCTTAATTTTTTATAATGGTTATTTTAAAGCCTACATCTAAAGTATCATTTATTGCTTCTATAGATTGTTTTTTTTCCCCTTGATTTTTTGTCAATTTTTCTGCTTTACTTGTCTCATAATTTTTAAATGTGTCACAAGCAATGTGATAAGAGCCAGTGGAATTTTTCTACACAGGTATGCTTGATATTTTGTTATAGCAACTATAGAGACTGGAATTGGAATTATTTTCCATGAAAGAAAGTTAGCTCTTTTTCCTTCTAGAAATATATGGTAAGGAACTGATCATCTCAATCTAGTCATTCAGTTGGGAATTGAGTTGAATCAGGGCTGAAAAGAAGCTTTTGTTAAGCTCAGTCCATGCCTGGTTTCAAATGTGTCAAGGGCTATACTTATTGAGTGTTTGTTTCAGCCTCTGTTGGGAGGGAACTCTTTCCCCCGGCTTTGCAATGCTGCAGAAGATTTCACTCTGCCTCTCTATCTCTGCACAGAAACAGAAACTCTTCTCCAGATTCAGCTCTCATTTTTTTTAAAAAATACAAGTTTGAGAAATTCTGTTATTATGTTCTATCTATTTAGTGGAATTTATGACTTGTTACTATCTATTACATTTTACTCAGTAGTGGAAGCCATCCAATTATTTTTATTATAAATATGTCATGGGCCTGTTTGTAAATATTTTGAAACATCCATATATAATTATGAGGAAATAAAACTTCACTAGATTTCTCAGTGCTCTTGAAAAAAGTCCTAGCTTCCTGACTCACAATGTATTTAATATAGAGGGAATGTTTGCTTTTACTTCTCCCACAAATATTTTACTCTTCACATACTATGAGAATCAAATCTGTAGCCATTTGTCTAGTTAACTGATAGATCTGAGGGATAATAAAACTGCTCTTATCTCCTCAAGAGGGCCAAAGAGTTAGAGCACAAAGTCCTAAATTAAGCTCCAAGGTGCCAGAAGTACTGTAGCATTATCTCCTTCAGTATTTACAGGCCAAAAGGGATGAAGTCCACAAATCGGAGATAGTATCTGGTGTTTACCTGGCCCTTAGAAAGACATGTTCATATTCCTAAAGGTTAAGGTAAGAAAACAGGATTCTATCCATTTCATCTTAATGGAATAAAAGTTTTTTCTTTCTTTTCAGGAAAGGAAGAATCTGCCTATTTCTCTCATGTATATAAATGAAGAAAATCCATTGTTCTCTGTCCTGCATTTATGGGATTTAAACTGCTACCTGTGTAGAAAAATTCCATTGGCTCTTATCACATCACCTGTAAGACTAAGGTACGGAGCACCCATGCTGTGATGCTTCAGTGTTACCCTGGCTGTTGATCTGGTTGTAAATTTCAATTTAAAACATTTTGCTTCTAACCCAGTTGTCCCATGGCATGCATATATATATGGGAAAACATCTCAGACTCATCACTATTCTTTATAAAATAGTACAACTGTACTTAAAGGTTTCATATATCAATGAAAGCACCATAAAGTTTTACATGAAATAAATAAAATTTAATGACTTGGCTAGCTTTTCCTGAATACATACATTGCAGTTATTCATTCACTCATGTAATGATGATTGTTTACGTTCCCACCATGTACCAGTCACAATACTTTGCCCTTGGAATACATTAGTGAATAAGGCAAATATGATTGTGGCCACAGATGAGTGTACCATGTAACAGAGAAAAAGACGACAAAAATGGTCAATGTAATAAAATGTTATAAATTGCAGCCTGATTCTTGTACTCCTACCAATTACTTCAACAATTTATCCAAAAGAATCACAGCAAAAAGAAAGCCTGCCAATACCCCCATGAAAAAAATTTTTTCAGGGAAAATTTTTGGTAAGTAGCAAGTTCAGAGTTGATAGTAACTACAACAAAACCAGTTTAAAAGGGTACTGTGCATGTATGTGCTGAACATATGAGAATGAGTGAGTATAAATGCAGGCATATATGTGTGCATGTGCACATGTGCACCGCCTATGGGGCTCTAGGGTGGAAGCAATCAGGTTGAGGATGAGGGGATCACAATACATTTTCCTCTGCATATTCATTCATATCCATTCAACAAATAGCCATCAAGTGCTATGTGCTAAGAACTGTTGTGAGTTACATACATTAATCAAAGTACTTGCTTTTATCTCTTAAATTTTATATTGTTGAGAGACTGAATGACTATTACAATTTATTTAATAAAAGTCCCACACAGGAACTTAATTGTAAGTATTCAAATAACGTAACCTCTTTCACAATTTATTTATTTTAATTATTGGACATTAATGTTAATTGTTAGCAGCTTTAAGTTTTAGTTTAATAAGGAAAATGATATTTTTAAAAAGCTGAATACAAAGACTTCCTGTACCTAAAAGAATAATACCTACATATACCAACAAGACAAATACAAGGTGTGACCACATCATACCTGAGTGCCTTATGAAGAAATCTACCAGAAGTCACTCAGATGAGTACAAGACCTAATACCTAATGTTTTGTAAGCTATAATGTGCCTTCTACTGTGTACATTCAACTTTAAATTTCATGATAAGTATTATAACCTAGACTTTATTCTATTTCTTCAAAAAAAACTATATAATATTAGAACTTGGGACAGTTGACAAAATTCATTATAATAAGTAAACTGAATATTTGATGTGATATGTTTGATTTTCTTCAAATTGTATTTTTATTTATAACTTTCTATAATTTTTGAGATTGGACATTGGCTTTTTCTCCATAAAGACATATGGTATATTATAATTTCAGGGGAAAAAAACCTTAACCTCTAGAAAAAATTGTGTATATATATATATATATATATATATATGATACTAACATTAAAAAGTATCAAAGTTGTTTGACATATACACATATATGGGGTTGTCTAAGCATCACCTTAAATTTAATATAGATGATAATAGAACAAAAAGTTGTCCTGTTGATTCTCAATTTGAAAAAACAAATACTTCCTTGTCTTTTATTATTTGAAATAATAAGAGTTGAAGAAAGCTATGACTATGATATAAATAATTATCAGTTCTGTGCTGCAAAAAAACCAATGTTATGAACAATATAACAGTAAATTAGAATGTGACTAAATAATATTAAGCAGGAAGCAGAGGAACAAAAGATTACAGAGTATTCGCCTCACAGTAGAAATTCAAGAGGAAAGAGTTACATACCCAAAATTTTTCTTTCCGCCCTTGTGCTCCTCTCAGTGTGCCCCATCTACAATCAATAACAATATTAAATATTAGTATGGCTTAAAATGTTTGATTTGTATCTTCAGAAAATGCAGATTATTGTCATTCCTTTATCTTTTGTATTGTTCATTTGTGCCACCCTGTTTTACAATGGAATTGTCATCATTGCCATACAGAAATGTGCTTATATAGTTGCTTCCTTCATACAACATAATTTGTGTGCCCAGAATAGAATCGTCTATATCCAAATGGCTTGAAATCAAACTCATTGACCAAAGAAGAGAAATACTAAGGCAACTGGGGTACAAAGGTTTTAAATTACTTAAAGATACCTTTCCTCCTTATCCCTAGCCTTCTGAAACTCTACCTTAAATGACATAAACTAAAAGTTTCCAAGACTACTGATAAAAACCAAAATGGAAATACAAATAATTTTTAGATGAGGAATTTTATGTAAAAAAGTTTATATACATATGTTAGTTTTTAAAGTAGCTTTGCACCTAACGTGGAATTTCTGTATATACATGTACATATAAAAATCAAATCCTGTTTTCCCAGTACTGGTCCATTTTCAATGAAGCACATGAGAGCTCATAAAAGACCTGAACTTACAATATTTTCAAATTTTTTCTTGAATAAACCCAGTGAGGTGTGTATTATTAATATGTTCTATTTACTGAGATAATGGGGACTTGTCCAAGATCAAGGGAATTATTGAGCCAAGACTATGAATCTCACGTACTTCTTAATACATTATATTATTTTTCTCTTATAAACAATATAATCTCCAGCTGCCGTGCATTCTTAACAGCATTAGTTTTATGGGGAGAAAGCACACTGAGTACCGTTTTCAGGTAACTTCATGGATTGTGAGAATACAATTAGTTCTGCCCACATATCACCCATTAACCTATATATAATAACCAAAGTTCTAACATCAGAACTCCATTAAGCTAAATTATGGTCTGCCATTATAGAACAAACATTCCTAGGAGAGATATACATTTGTTATTTAAATATTGTCCAATATATCAGTTGGCAGAAGGCTGTTTTCATTAGGGCACAGAATAAAATGATGGTACAATAGCATGGAGGTATTGCCTAAAGATGACAGGTTTATGGTAGGGCCTTTAGGGCACTCAAGAAAATATATAATGTATTTAGATCCTTTGGCATGAGAGTAAGGGGGAAAAAGTGATTTAGGGGTGGGAACACTCTAAAGAACAATTTTGCTTTCTCCTTCCCATTCCTGATAGAGGTTAGGAGTAGTAATTGCATTGATTGGCATTTCTTTTGTTCTCTGCTGTACATGGTGGGCACTATTTCAAATGTTCTTGGTGGTTTAATGTGTAAGTTAAAACTAGTTTAATTTCCAAAACCATTTTGCAGTTTTATAATTGCATTTATATTCTTGTAACTTTTCTTTAAAAAGTCATCAACACTGAAAAAATTTACCAATGATAGGTGGTCCCAAAATATTCAAAGGCCATTACCTCCTTCAAGTAGTAGATTACACATGAAATCTCCAATCACTCATTTTCTTTTTTATTTATTTATTCATTCACTTTTTTTATTTCAGCATCTTACAGGGGCACAAATGTTTAGATTATACATATTGCCTTTGCTCCACCTAAGTCAGAGCTTCAAGGGTATCCATTCCCTAGACTGTGTGCACTGCACTCATTAGGTGTGAATATGCTCATCCTCCTTCCCTCTTCCACCTGCCCACACCCGATGAATGTTACACATATACCCGATACATGTGCACATAAGTGTTGAGCCATTAATACCAATTTGATGGTGAGTACATGTGGTGTTTGTTTTTCAATTCTTGTGATACTTCACTAGTAGAATGGGATCCATCTCTATCCAAGATAATATAAGAGGTGCTAGATCACCATTGTTTTTTGTGTGGATGAGTAGAACTCCATGGTATACATACACCATATTTTATTAATCCACTTATGTATTGATGGGCACTTGGGTTGTTTCCACATCTTTGTAATTGTAAATCATGCTACTATAAACATTTGAGTTCAGATGTCTTTTTTATAGAATATTTTTTCCTTTGGGTAGATGCCCAGAAGTGGGATTGCTAGATGAAATGGTAGTTCTACTTTTAGCTCTTTGAGGTATCTCCATATTACTTTCCCCAGAGGTTATACTGGTGTGCAGTCCCATCAGCACTGTATGGGTGTTCCTATCTCTCTGCATCCATGCCAACATTTATTTTGGGGGGACTTTTTGATAAAAGCCATTATCACTGGAGTTGAGTGACATCTCATTTTGGTTTTGATTTTCATTTTTCTGATGATTAGAGATGTTGAGCATTTTTTCATGTTTGTTGGCCATTAGTCTGTCTTCTTTTGAAAAATTTTTGTTCATGTCCTTTGCCCACTTTTTAATGGGGTTGTTTGCTTTTTTCTTAATGATTTTCCTGAGTTTCATATAGATTCTAGTTATCATCTCTTTATCAGATGTGTAGCATGCAAAAATTTTCTCCCATTCTGTAGATTGGCTATTTGCTCTCATGATAGTTTCCTTGGCCATGAAGGAGCTTTTTAATTGGATCAGGTCCTATTTATTTTTTGTTGTTGTTGCTGTGATTGCCTTTGGGGTCTTCATCATAAATTCTTTCTCTAGGCCAATGTCTAAAAAAGTTTTCCCAACATTTTCTTCTAGAATTCTTATAGTGGCATGCCTTAGGTTTAAGTCCGTTATCCACTATAAGTTGCTTTTTGTGAGAGGTGAGAGATTCAGATTCTGTTTCAGTCCTCCACATGTGGCTATCCGATGTTTCCAGCACCATTTATTGAAGGATTCTTTTCCCTAGTGTATGTTTTTGTCTGCTTTGTCAAAGATTAGATGGCTATATGAGGATGGTTTCATATCTGGATACTCCAGTCTGTTCCATTGGTCTGCCTCTATTCCTGTGCCAGTAGAATGCTGTTTTAATTACTATAGCCTGGTAAAATAGCTTGAAGTCTGGTAAATTGATGCCTCCCAATTTGTTCTTTTTTGCTTAAGATTGCTTTGCTATATAGAGTCTTCTTTGGTTCCATACATAGCATAGAATTATTTTTTCTAGATCTGCAAAAAATTACTTTGGTATTTTAATAGAGATTGCATTGAATCTGTAGATCACTTTGGGTAGTTTAGACATTTTAACAATGTTGATTCTGCTGATCCATGAGCGTAGTTTTCCACCTGTTTATGTCCTCTGCTTTTTCCTTCCTCAGTGTTTAATAGTTCTCCCTGTATAGATCTTTCACCTCCTTGGTTAAATATATTCCTAGGTATTTATTTTCTTTCTTGAAATTGAAGCAGCAATAAAAAACCTTCTTAAAAAGAAAAGTCACACACCAGATGGTTTCACATCTAAATTTTACCAAACCTACAAAGAAGAACTGGTACCTATACTGCAGAAATTATTCCACAACATTGAGAAGGAAGGATTCCTCCCCAACATGTTTTATGAAGCCAACATCACTCTGATACCAAATCCAGGAAAGGACACACACACACACACACACACACACACACAAATCACAGAGCAATAACTCTTATGAACATATATGCAAAACTTCTCAACAAAATCCTAGCAAACCAAATTCAAGTGCTTATCAAAAAAATAACCCATCATGACCAAGTGGGCTTCATGCCAGAGATGCATGGATGGTTCAACATACACAAATCTATAAATGTAATTCAATGCTGAAATAGAAGTAAAAATAAAGACCACATGATCCTCTCGATAGACACAGAAAAACCTTTCAACAAAATTCAGCACCCTTTTATGATAAGACACTTAATGAAATAGGCATGGATGGGACTTACCTAAAATGATAAAAGCCATATATGACAAATCTACAGCCAACGTCAGACTGAATGGGGAAAAATTGAAAGCATTCCCATTTAGAACTGGAACCAGAAAAGGCTGCCCTCTATCACTGCTTTTATTCAACATAGTGCTAGAAGTCCTAGCCAAAGCAATCAGACAAGGAAATCAAGGGCATCTGGGTGCAGAAAAGGTCAAACTATCACTCTTTGCTGACAATATGATCTAATAACTAGAAAACCCCGAAGATTCTTGCCATAAGACTACTAGAATTGATAAACAAGTTCAGCAAAGTCTCATGTTACAAAATCAATGTACAGAAATCAGTAGCATTCCTATATGCCCACAACAGTTAAACTGAGAATCATTTTCTATTCATTTATAAATGATAACCATCATAATCTCTGAAAGATGACCACTCAATCAAACTTCCTTTCAGATAATCTGGCTACCAGTTATGTTAGCTATTTACATAAAATACAAAATCAAAATCTCTATCAGAAGAATCTAAGGAATGATTTAACTCTGAGATGATACAGGTAGTGGAGGGACCCAATATTTGAGATTCCATCAGGTATGGTAAGATGTTGGAGACAGTCCTGCTGAAGCCTCCAAAGAAAGAACTCCCAATCAAGAAAGAGGTATCCAGGCATGACAAGCTTGACTTGGTAATGAAGTCTTGATCTAAAGAGAAGAGCAGCTACTGAGGATGCAATTTGTTCTCTGTCACTTGGATCTGTTCAAGCTCAGTTCCCACACTGGATTCTACTGAGTTTGGAATTGGGGAAGGGGAAAGTCAGACTTTTTATTAAAACCTAAGAAAAACCATTTCACTACAAATTTTATATATTCTGTAAAACTCTGTAATATCACTAAAATAGAGGGTAACACTAATAGTGATAAGGGTTTCTTTCTCACATTGTAAGATCTTTCAAACTTTTTGAGCTCCAGTGTACTGAGGATTGTAGATGGGAGGACAAAGTAGTATTTAACAGAAGAAATAGAAAAGACATACGAGAAAAATATACCATGCAATAAGTACCATGTTTATTAATACACTATTTGAAATACTGCTAGGGACTCTCAGAAATATTGAAGTAATGTTTTGGGGGATGAAGATCCACAATTGCATATGGCAATAAGAGTCAGCAAAATGATTACACATCATTCGTTTTATTACCACAGGT